ACCATCTTTTCCTGACAATTAGAGGGAAGCTGATTATTATTCAAAGAGTTGAAGAAGGGAACACCTTAGCCCAGGCTAGGATGGGTCCTTTGGGAGCACAGTGAGTTCTCTAGAGCCTAGTGGGCAGGACCCACAGAGGCAGAAGGGGCCTCAGTGGCTGTTTCCTGTGCACAGCCCCTTGCTTCCAAAGCAGGCAGCTAGCTCTACAGGTCACTGACAGGAGCCCTTAGGCTAAATGCCAACCCTGACAAGAAAGGGGAGGACCAGACCCTAAAGAGGCACCAGGTTTGACTGTTTGAGGCCTTGTTGATTGGTTTAATTTTAAAAAATCCTGCCAGGGAGCAGGTGTGGAAATCCTGCCAGGGACCAGGTGTGGTGGTTCACACCTGTAATCCCAACACTTTGGGAGGTCAAAGTGGAAGGACTGCTTGAGGCTAGGAGTTTGAGACCAGCCTGAGTAACACAGTAAGACACACCCCCAGCCTTCCCCCACCTCCCCTTACCTTCTCTACAAAAAGTTTTTAAAATTAGCTGGGTGTGTTGGCATGCACGTGTAGTCCTAGCTACTCAGGAGGCTGGGGAGAACGACTGCTTGAGTCTGGGAGGTCAAGGCTGTAGTGAATCACGCTTGCACCACTGCACTCCAGCCTGGGCAACAGACCAAGACCTTGTCTCAAAAATAAATCAATTAAAAAGTCCCTCCAGGATGAAAATAGTCCCCAGTGCATTTAGGAGGGAATGGTGGACTTTTCCCCAGGAGTATTCTAGAGGGAAGAGTGTGGGTATGGAGCATCCAAAGGAGCCCCAACTAGGCTCTTTCTCTGCTTTGCACCGCTTTTCGCCATTGGCTTTCCACAAGACTGTCTTGCTAATCATGCACCTCGTGCAGATAGCTGGTGCTTCCTGGCTAATCTAGTCAAGTATAAAGAACAGCCCCTGCTGTCCTTCAAATACCAATAAGGCTTTTCAGCCAGCCTAGCGCCTCCACTTTGCTGTCTGTTGGCTTTCTGTGACTGCATGGTCAAGGCAGGTCAGAGATCTATCATTTTTGGCCAGAACAAATACATTTAAGAGGTTTGAAACCAAGTATACTTGAAAACTAAGTTTCAGAGAGAGAGCTAAGTTAGACTGTGTTGATAACTATGCAAACATTTCCCATTTCCTTACTGGGGCCATAAAAGGCATCCTCGAACCAATATATGCCAATCTGACAGTGCTGTCCAAAATAGTTTTAGTTGTGATTTTTTTTCAGCCAGTGTCAAAAGTGAGACTCTAAAATAATTACTATATGTCTATGTCCAATACTAAGTCCTTTATTTTTTTTCTGGGAATATTCTTAAGTAAATTCTGACTAGAATCACTACTAAAACACTTTTATCCTTATTCTAGATACTCAGGGCAGAATAAAAAAGTGAAAAATCCTCCAGCTCAGAAACTCAACAGCCATCAGGTGGGTGAATATCTAGTAAGAAAATTGTTCTCTGCTGATTCTGTCCCCAAGCTGTTCAGGCAGGAGAACACCTGCAAGCATGTTGCTCTTAGTAAAATATCACGTGGCCATTCCAATTAGTTTATTATCTGTAGCTGCTTTCACACTACAAGGACAGAGTTCAGTAGCTGTGACAGAGACTATATGGCCCACAAATCCTAAAATATTTACTGTCTGACCCTTTACGGAAAAACTTTGCCAACTTCTGCATAGCTCATCCATTCACTTTACAGATGAGCAACCCAAGGCCTGTTAGAAAAGCAAAGTGTCTTTATAGCACTTTGCACAGGGTTCACTTCACTGGAGTTAATTTTCTCTAGGCTTGTCCCTACTGGATACAATCTTTTTATTTCCCACACAGCCTTCCATTTAACTTAATAATAATGGTTTGTTGTATTGCACTGTCTTGCCCGGGGTAACGGGAATAGTCAGCAGTGGAACCTGGCTTAAAACCCAGATACTGTGATTCATAATCAATGGCAAGGATCGCCAAGTAGCTGTGTAACTTTGGCTGAGTTAATTGTCCTTTCTGAGCCTCAGTGTCCTCATCTGCAAGATGAAGGTAATCCATTTCTTGTAAGGTTTTATGAGAAATTGTTAAGACAATGTATGTGTGGAATAGGCTCTCCTTAAGCGTGGATTCTCACCCCGACTCCTTTGTCTCACTAAACTGGAGTTCTGGAACTTTTAGGGTTTCCTGAGGAAACTGAACTAAACACTTAAGGAACTTCTTCTCAGAACAAGACACTGGGCTTGGCCCTTTAGGAGATACAAAAATTATGTCCCCATTTAGTGGCAGTGATAAGACTGATGTGACCAGACTGATGATCTGGTTAAAGGGAAATAAGGTGTCTTTGAAGGGGTAATGACATTTAAAAAATGCCAATGGGGCCAGGTGTGGTGGTTCATGCCTAACTTCAGCACTTGGGAAGCTGAGGCGGGAGGATCACTTAAGACCAGGAGTTTGAGACCAGTCTGGGCAACATGGTGAGGCCCTCCCACAAAATATTAAAAATTAGCTGGGCGTGGTGGCACATGCCTATAGTCTCAGCTACTAGGGAGGCTGAGGTGGAGATTGCTTGAGCCCAGGAGTTTTAGGCTGCAGTGAGCTATGAGTGCACCAGTGCACTGCAGCCTGGGCAACAGAACAAGGCCCTGTCTCTTTTTTTGTTTCGTTTTGTTTTGAGACCCTGTCTCTTAAAAAAAAAACGCCATACCGGATCTATTTCAACAAATAAGAACAAAGCATCAGTGTGCTCACTGGTTGGCAAGAAACTGCTACTAAAGCCCTTGATTCTCTTTTGAAATCATGATTATGCTTCATTTGTCCGGTAAGCTTTGCTTTGATGATCTAGCTCAGATCAAATGGAAAGTTCAGAGTTTGTAGAGTCTAAATAAAAGCAGAATTACTATGAGGGACTGCGAAGCAAGTCAGAGGCACTTTGGAAACTGCTGGCCTGCTGTACACCAAAGTATTAGGCGCCTTCTTCAGAGGAGAATACCAGGACTTCATGGCCATCCCTGAGAACTTAGCAAGACCTGCCCTAAGAACTGCATTAGGAGGGAGGTTCCTGTTTCCTCGTATTAAATTATGTAATGCTCTAAGCCTCTCTTTCTTTTTTAAGCCTTTGGCTTCATGATGGATAGTCTGGTGGGAAATAGCACTGAATGAGGAGTTAGGAGACTGGGTTCCCATTCCAGTTCTAATATCTGCTGGCTTTATGACCCTGGGAAGGATATTCCTCCTTTTTGGACCATCTGCAAATGACACAATAGGAGCTCAGTTGACCAGATCAGACAAATAACCATTGTGCTGGGTCCTGACAGAACTGAACTCACTTAGATGCAGGACATTATCATACAATGTTAGAGTTAGACAGCACCTTTCAGTGATTAGTTGGACTCTGCCATTTCTCCTAGAGAGGGCAAAGGACCTGTCTATGGTGACATAATTCACTAGAGGCAGAATCAGATTAGAACCTAGGTTTCCTGGCTCTCTGTTCTATGCTTTGGCCAGAACAACAATGTTATCTAAAAAATCCAAAGGAAATGCATTTAATCTCCCTTGCCTCATGTATCTCGCAGACACGTTGCTGAGTTTGGTCTCTATCCTGCTCACTCATCAAAACTGCTCTGGATTAGGTAGCTAAGTCCATCAACTCCATGTAAAATTCTGCTCACACCAGCAGCTTCTCTGAGACCTGGAATAGGCAGGCTGTGAGCCAACCCTTACCCAAACTCATGCTTTAGGAGGAGGAGAGAAGTGGGGTCTGTGCTCCCTATGGTACCCTCACTTTAGAGTCTCAAGGAACAAAAAACTGGGAATGATCCAAGTGTGGCGGTATGTGCCTGTAGTCCCAGTCACTCCCAACCCAAAAAAAAAACAAAAAATTGGCCGGGCGCGGTGGCTCAAGCCTGTAATCCCAGCACTTTGGGAGGCCGAGACGGGTGGATCACGAGGTCAAAAGATCGAGACCATCCTGGTCAACATGGTGAAACCCCGTCTCTACCAAAAATACAAAAAATTAGCTGGGCATGGTGGTGCGTGCCTGTAATCCCAGCTACTCAGGAGGCTGAGGCAGGAGAATTGCCTGAACCCAGGAGGCGGAGGTTGCGGTGAGCCGAGATCACGCCATTGCATTCCAGCCTGGGTAACATGAGTGAAACGCCGTATCAAAAAAAAAAAAAAAAAAAAAAAAAAATTTGGGAATGAATTTTCAGAGATCACTTCTGCAGTTAATAATCTTCCAGGTTATTGAATCATCCAATTAATTTAATAGGAAGGCCCCTCAAGCAGGCAGAGAAGTTCTTGGATAGGAACTTATGAGTCGGGAAAAAGCCCCAGGATTGGTGCTCCTGGTGTCCGGTATCCAGTAAGCACAGAGAGATGGCTCTGCCCCTAGGGCTAGCTTGCCAGTGCATGAGTAGAGCTCCCAACCTCTCTGATATTTTCCAACACAAAACAAAAATTTAAAAGTCTCCTTCTTCTCAGACCCCATCCCAGCCATCAGCCGCTCCAAGTCTGGAATGTGAACTAACAGGGTTAAATGAAAATGAGGGTGCTAGCTAAACCTGAACGCCATGCACATGGAAGAGATTATCATTTTTCCCTGCCTGGCATCTTCTTGGACATTCTCCAAAGCCCAACTCAAATGTCATTTCCAAACACCTGGTCACACCAACCTGAGTTCAAATCTTGGCTGTACTGCCTATTTGCTGTGTGACCTTGAACATGTGGTTTAACTTCTTTAGGCTTCGGTTTCTTCTCCTGCAAATGGGGATCATAATATAACCAGTTTATAGGGTGATTAGTGTTGAGCCAATGTCATGCTTACAAAGGCCCTAGCATAGTGCCTGGCAGAGAATAGGTACTTTATAAATGTTGAATAAATAGTAAAGGAACCAGAGCATTCACCTCTTGAGGTCTGATCCAATACCTCTTCACTCCCTGGCTTCGCCAAATCCTTTCATCTCAAAGAGGTTAGAGAAGCCTGAGCCAATTTGTCCTTACCTTGCTGAGGTTTCCTAAGGCCGTGACCTTGGCCGCTGACCTCCTGCTGAGCTGCTCCTTCACCCAGACCTCAATTTGCTTGTTCCACTTCATGGTGAACACATAGAAGGCATAGGCCAGCAGCAGCAACAGGCTCTCCCACCAAGCAATGAGGCTGTCCAGGAAGAAGAGGATGAGCATTATCAGGTCAAGGATGTAGAAGGAGACATCACGGAATAAGGGCCACCAGGTGAGGTGGAGGATCTCTCGGGAGAAGAGGGAACAAGTGCCAATGACAAAGAGAATGTTGAACACAGCAGAGCCCACAATGGTACCGATGCCCACGTTGCTGTGGGAAATGAAGACACCGATGAGGGACGTGAAGAGCTCGGGGGCAGAGCCTCCAGCAGCCATGAATGTGGCGCCTGCCACATCCTCGGAGATCTGCAGCTTGTCTGTGATGACACCCAGGGCTGGAACGAAGTACTCGTCACAAACAATGGCCAAGGCCACAAACACATACATCATGCCGAAAATGTGCAGGACCACCCAGCCCTGCCGCCGCTCCTCCACACTGAACAAATCTGGGGGATACTCTCCCTTGGGGTGGAGGTCTGGCAAGCTAGAAGGCAGCACTGAAGGACTGGGACTGAGCTCCTCTGGGAGCTGGGCCGTTGTGAGGCTTGGGGAGAGAGTGGTGGGCATGGCTGGGGTTGGCTTCACAACCACACAGTGATGGACCTGCGTGGTCAGCTTTTCCCTGACCATGGGGGTTGCTGAGGTACTGGGTGCTGTGGAAGGTTTCTTTGCCAACCTCCAGATTGTGGCTGGGGCTGTTTTGATGGCTGATACACTGGTCCTGGATGAGGGATTCCTAACACTCCGGGCAGCAGTGGAGGCTTTGGTTTCTGCTGGACTGCTGCCTGCCATGGTGCTTATTGTCACCTGCCCCTCAGAGGTGGCTGGGGTATGCGCCAGCACTGTTCCCTGAGTCATCAGGTTGTTCTTTCCCACTAACCCCCAGGGATGGGTTGAGCTGTTATTTTCCATTCTTCTGGGGGGAGTCAGGTTGTTTTTTTCCACGACGTTCCTTGGAGAAGTCAAAACATTTGTTTCTACCTCATGTGTCAGATAAGGTGGGGTGCTATGAACCATTCCCTTGAGAGTGGTTGGGGTGGTTTCCTCCATTCTCTTAAGAGAGTTGGTTTCCAGTATTTTATAGGTTGCCATAATGTCACTGTCCTTCACTGTTGTCCTGGGGGTGATCACATGGCTTGTGTCCATTGTTATGAATGTGGATGGAGCATAAGTGCCTACTCTTCTACCATGTGGAGAAGGAGTGTACTTCACCTTTTCACTGACTTGAGTTGGGCTGTAGCTCTTCATTTCTCCCCTGGATTTCGGGGTATATTTTTTTACTATTTGTCTGCTTGAAGTTGGTGTGTAGTAAGTCAGTGTTCTACTGAATGTTGGGGTGTTTTCCTTCCTTCTTTCTGTACCTGCTGCTGTTGGGCTGTAGATATTCTTGGTTGTTGAGATCATCTCGGCTGTTCTTTTAGGCATATTGGGGATGTTATCCACTGTTATGCTCAGAGTGGCTTCATCACTGCCCACTGAGGCTTGAGGTACCAGCATCTCGCCCCCCATTTCAGAGCTAGGTTTTGGAGGGTCGCTGCTCACCATCATCATCTCTTCACTGGGGAGGTCCCGGCTGGCCAGTTTTACAGGCTGATGAGAAGAGACTGCTGCCCACAATGAGGAAAGGCCCCGGGGTCTCCTAAGGTGCTGATAGGTAGAACCAATGATCAATATTCCCAGTAGGAAGAGGAGGCGACTCCAATGAAGCCGCTTTGTCCGGAGTAACCGCCTCTCTTGAGGCCCCATCCTGATCAATTTCCTCATAGTGGCCAGTTATATCTGGTTACAGAAGGCCTCTCATTCTGTCCATGAAAAGATGGAGGCTACTCTGAGATTCAGGTTGGTGATCAAAGAAGATTTCTCCATAAAGCCCAACCGGGGGGTATCCACAAACCTAGATGGGGAAAAAAAAGAGATTATTTACCACTAAGAGAAGATCTGAGATACATAATACCCTCATATGAAAAAAAGTGGTAACAGAAGCTCCAGGGACACAAAACTGTCATGTATTGGGTCTCTGCTAAAGTAAACTACTCCTGCCCCCTGCTCCAGGGGAAAATGCCTGCTCTTAAGAGAAAGAGTACCTAGGGGTCCCATGTACTATGTAGGCATGATGGCAGCCCAGGTTCCTGAGCTGGGGCTTGGGTGCTCTGTGGAGTCTACCAAGTCCTCCCTGAGCCCTTAGCAAAAGGTCTGCCAGTACTCTTCAAGTCCGAGCCTAAGATGCTGGGAGCTCAGTCATCCACAGTTGGTGCTAGGCCACAGCTCTCACCTCACCAAAGGCAGGAAGGAGATAGGGAGATACGGTTTTAAGCTATAGACAAAAAGACGTAGCAGTGGAGGGCACTGCCAGGGACATTAAGGCTCCATGTATTTTTTTGGACTGACTCAAAACAATTCCACCATCCAGAGTGGACAAGGCTTAAAAGTTAATGTTATAGAGCTTCCCAAAGAATGTGGCATGGTGGGAGGATCCTGGGGAATGGAGTAGACTCCCTGTTCTGCTGCTTACCAGCTGTGTCATCCTGGACAGGCTGAGCCTTGGTGCCTCATCTGTGAAATGGGCATAACATATATATTAGTTATGCAAAGGTAATCTCTGGAAGGACATCTAGGGAAGGGAAACTGAGGATCAAAGGTCAGAAGGCAACTTATTTTCACTGTATATTCTGTTAGTTTGATCTTTGTATCATGAGCATGTTATAATTTTTTTTGAGATGGAGTCTCACTCTGTAGCCCAGGCTGGAGTGCAGTGGCATGATCTCGGCTCACTGCAGCCTCTGCCTCCTGGGTCCCGGTTCAAGCAATTCTCCTGCCTCAGCCTCCCGAGTAGCTGGGATTACAGGCACACACCACCATATCCAGCTAATTGTTTATCTTTAGTAGAGATGGGGTTTCACCACGTTGGCCATGCTTGTCTTGAACTCCTGACCTTATGATCTACCCACCTCAGCCTCCCAAAGTGCTGGGATTATAGGCATGAGCCACTTCGCTCGGCCTATAATATTTTCAATTAAATTAGAATGTTAATAATAACAGTGTCACAGGAATGTTGAGACAGTAAAAACATATGGAAGGCATTGAATAGGTCAGGCATGGTGGCTCACTCCTGGAATCCAATCCCAGCACTTTGGGAGGCTGAGGTGGGCAGATCACCAGAGGTCAGGAGTTCAAGACCAGCCTGGCCAACATGGTGAAACCCCATCTCTACTAAAAATACAAAAGTTGGCCAGGTGTGTTGGTGAATGCCTGTAATCCCAGCTACTCGGGAGGCTGAGACAGAATTGCTTGCACCTGGCAGGCGGAGGTTGCAGTGAATCAAGACTGTGCCAGTGCACTCCAGCCTGGGTGACAGAGCAAGACTCTGTCTCAAAGAAAAAATAGAAAAGCACTGAACAGAAAGGCTAGTTTTATACAAGAATGAAGGAGGGAAGAACATGGAAGGCCCTCAAAGAATCCTTTTATAAAGAAGGGCATTAAGACCCAGCCCAAGTAAGTATTTATTAAATTTCTAATTAATGTTCACAAATTACTACAAAACAAAAACTGGAAATGATTGGTTTTGCATATGATATATTAGCAGTGAGCTGAGTAACTCATGGAATCTATCTGGTACAACTCCTCTTCTGAGGTATGAACACACTGAGGTCCAGAGAGGAGATATGACTTGCTTAATATTATACAGCTAGTGAGTAGCTGAGCAGATGCACCTCCTAACACCCCTTTCTTTCTTCCATGCCACACTAACTGGAGATGCAAATATAATTGTCTTAAAAAGCAGGAGAGGGACAAGCAAAAGGAGAAGTAAGAATAAGTGAACTTCCTTCTCTGTCCCTGATTTCTGTAATTTTCTTTCCACTATCTCCCTGCAGCCCCCTGATCCTTGCCATGAACTCAATACTTTATAGCAAGTCCACTCGTATCCCCATCAGAAATTTCAGAGGGTCTCTCTCTTTCTGATCCTGTGTTACGTAACAGAGCTGAGCAGGCACTCCAGCTGATCCCTCCTACCTAATTACATCATTTACCTTCAGACCTCGACATCTGGGTATCTTCTCAGCTCTGGAAATTTGTCAGAATCCAAGACCTCAAAGAGTGGGTCTGAAGCTGGACAGCAGGGAACACAACATTCTGTGCCCCCAGCTCTCCTACGGAATCCTAATTCAAGGCAGGGTCGGGTGTGAAGGGCAGCTCAGGGGAAGAATATCCGATCGTGGCTAATACCACCTCCTCTAAGCAGCTTATCAGGGCATTGCACAAGTTCTGGGTCCCAGTGCGTCTGACCAAGCCTGAGAGAGTGGGCCTTCCACCAGGGACACAGACGGGCTTGCTCTGAGCCCCCAAAGTCAATGGAGGAACCTAGGAGATTTCTCAAACCTGTTTCTAAGCTATGAGAATGAGAGGTGGTCTAGGGTTTCCGTGCTTAAATGTTGAAAAGCTTTGGAAAGATTCAGAAGGCTCTCCGAGGAAACCAAGGGAAAGTGCCTGGGGCTTAAGAGATCAGAAGGCCTCAGTTAGCACTTGGCTGGACTTGCTACTGTGTGATTCTAATGTAATCTAAAAGTAAATGTGGGGATAATAATAACTGTCCTACCTATCTGTAAGGTGAATGTGAGAATCAAAATAAAAAACAAAGATTATAGTGAAAACACCAGGCAAACTTTAAAGCATTTCATACATGAAATCTATTTTATTAGACCTAAAGGAAATGCTTGGTCTAGAGGGCACTAATGGATCTCTGCAGAGCAGGCTGGGACATCCCATGATACCTGAGGAGTTGGCACCCTGAGCTCCCTACGCCTCCAGCCCATGACTTGAAGCTGATCAAAGTAGAGTGGGGTAAGGTAGTGGGGATCTCGTGAGCCTAACCATGCATGTGGAAGCCATTTCAATCGTCAGCTAACTCAGCCTGATAGTTACTGACTGCCCCTTTCTCCTTTCCCTCTTTCCACCAAGAGTATCTGGGTGCATGATGCTTTGGGTTACTTTCATCTGAAATAGCAGGTAATCCCTCACAGCCTCACCTCTGCCCTGGTTCACATTAAGTGGCCTGGGACAGAAAGATCACCAGCTCCCTCTGCTGAAGCCCACAGGAGTGCCCACCCACTGTGGAAGAGCTGACTTCATCTCTGGGTATGTTGGGGTCACTCTGGATGTTGGAAGCCTGGGGCCGGGGCCTGAGGTCTGCAAGTTATAAGTCCTTGCCTTTATGCTGCTGTGGGCAGAACCAAATTTAGTTCCTTCTCTTTTCATTGCCACTGTGTAGCATAGTCTCAATCTGGCCCAGAAGGATGAAAAAAGGAACATAATTCACAAAGTAGAATTATGAGTGGATCTTTTCTTCTGAAATAACTCCTCTATTTTTACAATGTTATTTACTCAATATAAAAAATTCAGGAGAGAAGGAAATCCTCAGAAAAGTGATTCCTTTCTCTCAGATGTTCATAAATGTTGTCAAGGAGTTCTTCCTGGTGTCTAACCTAAATCCTACCTGCTGGGGGTAAACCCAGTTTCTTCTGTCTTATTATCAAGGAATTCTGGCACATTTTGAAATTCAGCAGGCTGTAGTAAATTTGGCTGCTCAACCAAGAAGGGAAGCATCCTCTGTACTAGCCATGTGAGTGTGGACAAGTTATTTAACTTCTCAGTGGCTATAAATCTCTCATCCTGTAAAATGAGGATGATAATGACATCACCCGGTTGATAGGGTTGTTGTGGGGATTAATTTATAAACATATTAACAGTGCTGTGTACTATTGTTGTTGTTCTGCTTTTAGATATTATAGTCAGATTGTGATAGAGGGGTCAGCAGGTCTCCATACATTTCACTGTTACAACACTCTACTGTGTATTTATTTGTGCAATCACCTTGATTAATGTGTACAACTCTTACTAGGGGGTGAACTCCAAGAAGACAGGGAGCTTGCCTGTTTTATTCACCACTGAATCCCCAGAGCCCAGAACAGTGCCTGGCACACAATAAATGTATAAATAAATAAATGTATTTGTTGACAGGCTGAAAAAGTATAACCCAGTGAGGAAGATACTCAGAGATGGGGCCTCTGAACTACACATGGATGGAGTGGGGAATGCCCACTCAAAAGGCTCATGATCTTTTGAGAGCAAATGGCTGGAGAATGGCCAGCACCACTGAGAAGGGGAAGCTGATCTGCTTTGCTCTACAGAACTGCCTCATTTTATACCCTCTCCTGGACCAGGATGGAAGAACAGATGGGGCAGATCTGGCTGTGACCCTCACAATAAAATAAAGGGGTGAGGAATGCAGATATTAGAGGTTTGGCAAGACAGCAAGGAGGCCTCTCCTTGCCCTCCAGAGCTCTAGGCCTTTCCTATGTTTTATTAAAACAGAAAGAGGGAATGAGACTTTTCATCTGACTTGGAGGGTTTGTGGCTAAGGCTGGCTTATTTCTGGGCCTATATCAGGAGTTGAAACTAACTCTACAGTTGTACAGTGGAAAGTATAAACGATTTGAAAGGGTTGCAAATTTTCTTTCTTTCTTTTTTTTTTAATCGGGCAAAAAGCAAGCATTGATGGGTTGCAAATTTTAATATCTTTAGGTCCTGGGTAGATAAAAATAAGTTACATCAATGGTTTTCTGAGTAATTGGGGAGTGCTGGGAGCTATGTCTGGACAGATAATAAATGACCCACCGATAGGCACTCCAATGTCAAACAATTAAAAATATTAAGGAGCAAACAAATGAGTCTAAGGGCTCAATTTAACCTATAGGTACTGCTTTGCAACCTCTAATAAAGTAACAAGCCTGACAAGGAGCAAGCCTGAGGTCTCTCTTCCTCAGATTCCTCATTTATGAAACCAGGAAAGACAAGCTTCCTCATGGAACTACTGTTAGAGTAACAGCTAGAGAATCTGTGGAGGAGTACTTTGTTCTGTCCAACCTGTACAATGTCACGGCCTAAGACCTTCTGTTTATATTGTTTTATTTGTGCATATTATATTGTTTATAGGATTAAAAGTGGCTGTACAGTTGTAACTGGTGGAAAACAGCAAAATAAGTCCCCAAACATCCTATTACACATCTTTCCAAGCCAGTGGCTAGAACCATATCTGAGACAGGGAGATGTGGTCTCAGACATGGTTCTAGCCATACCTTGTTTGTTTGTTACACTGAGTGCAGCTCAGAGACAGGATTTCATTCTTACAGTAAAGTGCCCTTCTGGAGGTGCCAGAGGCCTAGAGAAAACGTCAGAGAGGTTATTTCAGAGGACTTCAGTGCGGTGAAGCAGGAAACCACACAGCCCCAGCACGATTCACAAGCCCCCGACTAAGTAAGAGAAACGGCCCACTAAGTAAAACTCCCGTGTTAAATCTGACTTTACAAAGGAATGATGATTCAGGCACAGCAAGATACCTTTTTTTTCTATAAGCTGACAAAGAGTAAGAAATTTAAATAACATCCAGTGCCAAGGAAGATCCCAGTGAGGATGTATAAATCGTGTAGAGCAGCCCAAGTGACCTTGTTAAACTGTAAATCAGATCATGTCCCTCCTATATGCCAGAATTTCCAGTGGCTTCCCACCTCAGTTAGAGAAAAAGCCCCTATATTAGTCTACCAGGCCCTTTTTAGCTTTGTTGTAGTAGCAAAAACTGAAATCTAAATGTCAACAGAAAACTTATTACATAAATTATAATGGCACATCTTTACAACAGACAATTATATACAATAGTTAGAAGGAATGGAGCTCATGCCCAAGATATATTAATAAAACAATACTAATAAAACCAAGATGCAGAATAGTACATATAACATTGTTGCATTAGTAGATAGTATTATACATGCTATATTATATATATATACATATACATATATACATACATATGGACGGCAATTTTGCAAAGCGTATGTAAGAATGGCTGTACTTCTGTCACTAACAGATATAGAACAAACAAACAACAACTCTGATATTTCACTTCTCCAGCCCAGTGACTAGAATCATACTTGAGGCAGGGAGGTATGTATGGTTGCTTCTAGGAAAGCAAATGCTTATTTTTCACTTTATCTACTATTTCAAAACTTTGAATTTTGCCTGATGCAGTGGTGCACTCCTGTAATTCCAGCACTTTGGCAGGCTGAGAAGGGAGGATTGTTGAGACCAGGAGTTCAAGACCATCCTGGGCAACATAGCAAGACTCTGTCTCTAGTAAAAATAAATAAGTAAATAAAAATAAATTAAAATAAACTTTGAATTTTTCTCCACAGACACAAATTACTTTTTTTTTTTTTTAATTTGAGACAGGGTCTTGCTCTGTCACCCAGGCTGGAGTGTAGTGGCGCAATCTCGGCTCACTGCAACCTCCGCCTCCCAGGTTCAAGTGATTCTCATGCCTCAGCCTCCTGAGCAGCTGAGACTACAGGTGCCCACCACGACACCTGGCTAATTTTTGTGTATTTAGTAGAGGCGGGGTTTCACCATGTTGGTCAGGCTTGTCTCAAACTCCTGACCTCAAGTGATCCGCCCACCTCCGCCTCCCAAAGCACTAGGATTATAGGCATGAGCCACCGTGCCTGGCCTCCAGGCCTCACAAATACTTTTATAATTTTTTAAAAGCTAGTTTTATTTGGCTTTCTCTTCTTTTTCATTTAAAGACGCCACCAAGATTTTAAGAAGGTAAGTGGTTAGCCTGGCAAGATAAGTCAGCGCTCAGATCATGAGGCGCCTGTAAAAATTTAGACTTTATACCATTTCATTTGTTTGTTTGTTTTTAGAGATAAGATCTTGCTCTGTTGCCCAGATTGGAGTGCAGTGACACAATCATAGCTCACTGCAGCCTTGAAATCTTGGGCTCAAACAATCCTCCTGCCTCAGCCTCCTGAGTAGCTAGGATTACAGGTGCACACCACCACACCTGACTAATTTTAATTTTTGTAGAGACCAAGTCTTGTTGTGTTGCTCAGGCTGGTCTCAAATACCTGAGCTCAAGCGATTCTCTTGCCTCAGCCTCCTAAAGTGTTGGGAGCCATCATACTAGGCCTTAAACTAGCACTTTTCAGAGGGAAGAGTGTATGGAATAAAAAAGTTCCTTCCTACTGTCTTAGAGAAATCTAGTGTCTACCAAGTTTTCTCTGCTTTCCCCTTTGACTTTTTTTTCCAATAACCTCTCTTACTACCCTCCTGTCTTTTTTCCATAAATACACATCCACCATTACATGCCAGACCCTAGGGGATCCAGCGGTGGATAAAGCTCACCCTATTTTCAGAGCAGAGGCAAAGTTAATTGGAATGGAAATGTGTAAAAGCTTTCCTTTGTTCAGTGAGTCTTTCATTATTTAAAATAGAGAGAAGCTTTGTTGTTTTCTCAAATGCTCTGGAAAAAACCAAAAGAGGATTGAGAGCAATTTTAAAAGGAGAAGGAACACAGTTTTCCAAATACATTGCAAGGGAAAAGAGACATGAGGGAGAAAACTATGGATTAAAAGAGACTTTCTGAGACATATCAACAGATTTCAATTTCTGGATCTTACTTGGATCCTGATTCAAACAACCAAAGTGTAAAAAAGTAAAACTTACGATATTTATGACACAACTGAATATTTGAAAGCTGCTTAGATATTTGATGATATTAGGGATTGTTAATTATGTTAAATTTGATAATGGTATTGTAATTATTATATTTTTAAGTTCTCTTAAAGATACAGAGATATTCATGGATAAAATGTTATGCTATCTGGGATCTCCATCAAAAGAATATGTTGGGGAGAAGTCAGTAGGTGTATACATAAAATGAGATAAGGATTGCACTGAGAGCAGAAACTGGGTGAAGGGCACATGGGGATTTATTATCCTAATCCCCATATCTTTGTCTATGTTTGAAAATTTCCATAATAAATTTTTTTTCAGAAGAGGGAAGGGTCATATTTATGATATTTTTTGACTTCTGCTTTGGTGAAAATAGTGAAATGGGGAGGGGAAATGATGAGAAGAAGGGGCTGGAACTTGGAAGTATGATTTGGGAGTGAGCAGTCTCCAGACTAGGGGGGCAGGAAGGGAAATGCAGGGCAAAGGACATCCTGGGAGTGTGAGAAGGTAGGGAAGAATGGAAAAGAGAAGTAGGCCCACTGCTTTTCCCACCTCTCTCGGCCTTTTCTTCACTTACTCATTCCTTACCCCTTATCTTTGTAGATGAAAAATCATCTTGGTGGCCGGGCATAGTGGCTCACACCAGTAATCCAAGCACTTTGGAGGCCAAGGCGGGCGGATCACCTGAGGTCGGGAGTTCAAGACCAGCCTGACCAACATGGTGAAACACCGTCTTTATAAAAAAAATAAAAGAAAAATATTAAAAAATAAAAGAAAAATCATCTTGGGGCCAGTTGATTTGGCACTCTGGGAATCCAAAGGAGGAGATCCCTTGAACTCAGGAGTTTGAAACCAGTCTGGGAACAAAGAACCCCATCTCTACAAAAAATTAAAAAATTAGCCAGGCATAGTGGCACATGTCTGTAGTCCCAGCTACTCAGGAGGTTGATGTTGCGGGGGGATTGCTTAAACTCAGGAAGGTGAGGCTACAATAAGCCATGACCATGCCACTGCACTACAGCCTTGGGGACAGAGACCTTGTCGCCCCCCCCCAAAAAAAATCACCAACTTATCAACAAAGATTCTCAAACACAAAGTCATGAAATTCTATTTCCATTTCACTTGGCAAGTCCTAGGAATCTGCATTTTCAACACATGCTCTAGGAGATTTAGATATCTAGACTTCCCTTTGAGCCTCAGTACCTAGCCCCTGTGAGAGGCGTGGTTTTTCTGTCATTAACCTTCACTCCGTCAGACTGGGGACCCAACACTGCCTTTCAAAGCCTTTGTGACAGCAGTCCACTGTTTCAAGGCAGGAAAGAATAAAGGGGGTGAGAGATTATGCAAAGCCAACTGTTTATTGATTTCCTTTAACGTGTGTGTGGAAACATGCAAATGCTGAGGGTCACTTGAGTTGGGAAAAGAAATTCATCAGCCAGCTATGGCTTGAAAGACATCCCCTTTAAGACCTTCTGACCTTGTGATGATGTTCTCTGATGTTATATTCACTGAACAACCTTCTGATTTGTAATGGGATTCCACTACAAATTTTTTAAGGAGGTTAAAAAAAAAAACACACACACACTAGTTGCCCTAAGTAACACAGTCCTCCTGGTAGTTCTGCCTTTTATCATCAATTTAATATATTGATTTTTTGCTTTCCAAGTCTCCCGAAAGCCTGTTATTCAGAAGAACTAGGTCACCAGATTTGATCATCCATCAGCAAACTAATAAACTTTAGGGTTGGGTAAAGTAATAAATCAAACTACAACTGAGCCAGAATTACCAGGAGGACAGTAACCCTATGGCTAAGTCATTGTCACATTAGGGGTAACTACACTTGCTCATCCACACATTCTTGGCCACATCCCTCCAAATAGGGAAAGATTATAAATTATGACCAAGTTATCAGGCTGCAACCTTACTTACCTGGAGCCCAATGCCTGTTCAAGCATAACTAGGTCTTGACATGGTGAGGTCAGCCAGGTTGGGGAAAGAAGTTTTGAAGCAAACAGGGCAGTGTGCAGAGCCCTAAAGCTGGCAGGGATATTCCCAGGGACAGGAAAAAAACAACAAGCAATTGGACCCACACTCTTCCACAGAACAAGCTGTGAGAAATCAAATAAACTTGTCTGTTCAGTTCAAAGTATCCACCTTCCTTGTCCCATCTTCTAATCTCGCCCCATCCCACCAGCTAAAAGAAAAAGGCAAAGCCTTCTAGAGACCTTTCTGTACTCACTTTGTAACCTGTGTGGTTTCACATTGTTCTTTGAACCATAGCTACACAGGGGCCGGCTGGCATTCCCTGGCTCCCTCATGGTTAGAAAAATAGTCACCTCTTGCCCTCTTAAGGACCTCACTGAGGCACGGGCTACAATGGAGACAGCAGGTGGCCAGAGTGGCAGGCAAGAACCCATGCTGCCTTACAGGGAAATCTGAGCACACACGCCGTGTCCAGGGTGAGGAGAACCAAGGCCTTCTGCTTTCTTCGAAGAGGGGATGGGGGAAAAAGTGACCATTTGGGCTGAGGAGACGAAGAGGCCAAGTCTTGACGTAAACTGGGCTCAGGTCGGCTAAGAAAAATATACAAAGCACACCTCAGCCAGGAATGACAGTTTCGCGTCTTTTTTCCCTCCGGGATTCTCGTACCTCAGCCTCCCGAGTAGCTGGGATTACAGGCGCCCGCCATCATGCCCGACCAAGCTGTGTGTTTTAGTAGTGAGTGGGGTTTCGCCATGTTGCCCAGGTTGGTCTCAAACTCCTGACCTGAAGTAATCCTCCCGCCTTGGCCTCCCAAAGTGCTGGAATTACAGGCACGAGCCACCGTGCTGGCCAGGAATTGTAGTTTAAAAAGAGTAGGAAGAGGATTCTGCCAAGCGGTTCAGAGGACAGGAGAGAGGGGCTGAAGAGTGACAGGCAGAAAGCAGGAAGCCTTGGGCTGTCCCCGACGGGGCCGGGGAGGAGGGGACATTAGTGTGACGGGGTCGTAGAGCCCCCGGGCCAGGCGAGGGCCACGGGTCAGTGGGGCGGGAAGGGTTGGGAAGAGCCCGAGAACGCGGAGAGACGGGAGCCCAGAAGCAGCCAGGACGCAGCGAAGTCGGGGTTTGTGGAACGACACGGGCGGCAGCGGACTGGACACGGCGAGGAGACGCCGCGCCCCGTAGCGTCCGTCCGCGTCGAGCCAGAGCCCCGCCTGGGCGAACCGGAAGCTCGCCAACGGCCGCCCGGAAGCTCGCCAACGGCCGCCCCGCCCAGCGCGGAGCGCCGGCGCCGGGTTCCCTTCTGTCGCGCGGCCCTGTAGTTCCGGCTGTTGGCGCACGGGCGGAAAGTTTATGCCGACGGCCTGCGTCCGGCGATGGGCGCGGGGTGAGTGGGGAGGCCGAAGGCCCGGGGCTGCCGCTCGCTGCCTGTTGGGGTTACAGGTGCAGGGGTTGGGGGAAGAACAACCCAGGGCCAGCGCCTGGCCTTCGCGCCACCTTGGAGCCGCGCGCGCTGACTCAGGCCCCCGTGCCCAGGCGCTGCTTCCGGCTGCCTCGCTCTGAGGCGCGCGCCCCGAGCCCCGCGTAACCCGCACCGTTTCGCCTTCTGCCAAGTCCCCCTCCGCCCGGTCTTTCCGTGAACGACTTCCGGATCTCATATTTTCTTGACTGATTCTTAAGGTAAAAATACGTCTCCCCGTTGAGATTTCCAGTCTGCACGTCGAGCGATGAAGTTGTACCTGAGACCTGGGGAGGGGCTCGGCGGGCTGACGGGAAACCCGAAGCGCAGGTGGGGCCCTGGGAAGTTGAGGCGCAGTCCGGCTTTGAGAGCAGACTGCTGGGAATCGGTTCTTCACGAACGAGCTGGTGATCACCTTCGGCGAAAAATGATAAACGTGTAGCTGATGGACAGTGGGCATGCGGGCCACGTAGCTGATCTGGAGAAGGGAGAGCCCTGCTTGTTCAAACAGTACACATGGGAGGGGGTTGGGTGTGGGAGACTGGGGGGCTCAGAATCCACGCGAGTGAGGAATACATGGTGTTCTCACAAAATCGCTAGACTGCGGTGGGCAGGGATTTTTATTTGTACTCATTTTTTTTTTTTTTTTTTTTTGAGGCAGAGTCTCTCACTGTCACCTAGGCTGGAGTGCAGTGGCACAATCTCAGCTCCCTGCAACCTCCGCCTGCCAGGTTCCAGCAGTTCTGTCTCAGCCTCCGAAGTAGCTGGAAAAAGCACTTTCGGCCTGCAGGCGCACGCCACCACGTCTGGCTAATTTTTGTATTTTTAGTAGAGATGGGGTTTCACCATGCTCGTCAGGCTGGTCTCGAACTCTTAACCTCAGGTGATGCGCCCACCTTGGCCTCCCAAAGCGCTGGGAATACAGGCATGAGCCACCGTGCCCAGCCTTTTTTTTTTTTTTTCCCCCAGTCAAGCCTAGATTGCTTGAGTGAACCATCCTTCAGGAACTTTCAGCTGCCTCTTTTACTCCAACCTGAGTACTAAACTGATTTCCTATGACTTTGTAACGGTTAAGGAGGTGCGTTTGGGACCAGACACAAAATGCATCAGTTGGGAGAAAGAGCCAGCTCCAGGGGTGTCTTCAGAGAAGGCAAGACTGCCAGCTGTCATCTCTCAGCAGCAGATTTCACGGCCGAAAGTGCTTTTTCTTATTTGTGCTGTGTAAACTTATTTCTCCCATTCTCCTAAGAGGTGAGGGCAGTGCTCCTCATGATCCTCATTGTAGAAAGGCCTCCCTGCATGAATGGGACTGCCACAGGAGCTGGGCAGAGGTGAGCGAGTCCCCCATATTGCTGCCTGAATGAGAAGAGGAAATGTGTTTCTGGTGTCCAGAGTTAACATTTAAAATGTATTTTGCTAAATAATATATGGCATATCTGGTGATTTAGGGGTAGTTCATTAATTATTATCAAATTGTTGGGCACCTACTATGTGCCAGTTACTGTGATAAGTTTTGAGGAGATATCATGCCAAAATCTGGCCTGATTCCTGCCCTTAGAGAGCTTTTATGTCATGGTCTAATGTAGAGTAGTTGAACCAATATTGTGCAGGACCTTACTTTTTTTTTTTTTTTTTTTTTTTGGAGGGGGTTTTCTCTTTTTTCCCCCGGGGGGGGGGCAAGGGGCGATCTCGTCGCCCCGCAACCCCCTC